TGCCACATATTTTTGAACTTTCCTTCCACTTTTGATTTCTAATTTTATTCTATGATGTCTACAAAATAGTTTTAGTATCTTCATCTCTAATTAACCTTTATTTTATTCCCTGTAAGTTAGTCTATCTAGTATAATTTGCTAGTAATACYTTTGAGTATATAAGTCAAATTGGTTTAAAGTATTTTTCAGTCTTTTGTGATTACCATTTTTTTGGACTTCACAGCAAATGGGAATTTGTGTCTCCTAGTATTATAGTATTGCTTTCTATTTCTTTATTCACTTCTTTCATTCTTACCCTTTTCTATCTGGGAAGTATTATTTAAATGAGTTAAAAGTGTATCTATTCTTATTGCAGTATCCAAAGGAAAAGTACCTTTTATCTTTATATAGTATGCTACTTTGCCTCTTTTTAATTTTTTAAGTTGAAATCTATTTTTTAATCTCATGTAACTTTTTGTTTAAAACTATGTTTTGCATACCATAGCTTAGTGACCCAGCTTTCTTTTGGTCACTTTTGTATGTAACATTTTTATATTCTTTTGCTTTCACTTTTTTTGTGTCTAGGTATAGAGTCTCCTGTAGATTACATACCATTGTATTTTTGTAATTTTAATTCTGTTACTCAGGCTTTTTGTTTTGATTGAGGTTTGGTAATAATGCATTTGTAATCAAGTAAATTTCTCAATATTTAGAAATCACTACTCCTACTTTGTAAGCARTTTTCTATATTTCTTGTAATTGTTTTCCCTACTTTTCTTAATGGTTTCATTTGTGGTTCATTGCTTTTCATGGTGACGTGTTTTCATTCCTCTTTTTCTTCTGTTTACACATTCTATGGGGTTTCATTTTGTCATTTACATTGAAACTTTAAAGTTTACATTATATTTTAAATTGGTGACAAATTAACTTCAATTCAATATAAAAGTCCCGTATGTTTATATATCATTTCAAAATTATGTTACTGCAGTTTTATATCACATTCCCATTAACAGGTTTATGATGATTTTTATACTTTTGTCTTTGAAATTTTATTGTAAAATTATTTTTTTTTATAACCCATCATTATAGTAAAGTAGCACTGTATGGGACTTTTTGTTTGCCAAGAAAACTTTACAGTTTCATATGACTTGTTATTGTGCAGATTTATTTTTCAGCATGAAGAATTCCCTTTAGWGTTTTTTCGAGGATAGATCTAGTGGTGATAAACTTTTGGGTATTTACATATCTTTAAATTCTTTATTTTTCAAATCTAGTATTTCTGCACATAGTAATCTTGGTTGGTAATTTTATTCTTTTACTCCTTTGGCAATATTCCCCATTCATWTCAGTAATGTTAGACACATCTTTTTTCTCTTGGTGCCCTCAAAATTTCTTCTAAATTTTTAAAACTTTGATTAAATAATTCTTGAGATTCCCCCCCCCCCTTGAAGATAATTGAGCTTCTTGGATCTTGATTTGTTTTGTTTATGATATTTGTAATATCTCAAACTTTTTCACTAGCATAAGGGATGGAACTAAGCAGTGCTTTACAACTCAATTACATCTTCAGCTGTTTTCATTTTGTAAAATTTTTGACAGGACCTTATTATGTTGCTAAGGATGGCCTCCTGGCCCAGACTCTCAGGTTGATGGAATCACAGCTGTGTACAACCTCTGATTCTCTCAGTTAGTTTTTTAAAGRAACTCTTTATGTATACAATTTCTGCTTGTTTCTGTTAACAAATTTTGTCTAAATTGTATTCAATTCTCTGTGTTCTGGATTGGCTCACTAAATCTCTTTCAAAGGTCATTTAGGAAAATGGGAGTTATTAGTAATTACTAATGTTTTAATTCCTAATTTTTTTGTTGCTTTTATAAAACCATGTTTTTCTTTGTGTGCTGTAGTCTTTTTAATTGGTTTGTTCATTTAAAAACCAACCAACAGTAGATTATATACTCATTTTTAAAAATAGTATGGAAGTTTTAAGTAAATGAAAATGAGACAAGCAAAGTGCTGCATGCTTGTAATCCCAGCTAATTGGGAAGCTGTGCAAGAGGATTTCAGGTTTGAGGCAAATCACAGCAACTTAGTGACACCATGTCTCAAAATAAACAATTTTTAATAGGCTGTGTTGTAGTTCAGTGATGCAAGCACCCATGGCTTTAATCTGAAGCATTGTACATAAAAAGATTAAAAGTTGAATGACCCTGTATCCCCAAATGCAAGTACTAAATATGTATCCTCAGGAAATTAAATCAGCATGTTGAGGAGATAACTCTACTGCCATGTTCAGTGGAAACATTGTTCACAATAGTCAAATATGGATTTACCTTATGTACCCATCAGTGATTGAATGAGAAAAACTTTGATATTTCTACATGATTAATATTTAACCATAAAAGAGATAATGTGTCATTTGAGGTGACCTGAGATGAATATGCAGAATTTGCATTAAGTTAAATAAGGCAGACACAGAAAGTCTGCTGCAGAAGCATCTGGAAGTTAGAAATGCAGAATAAAATTGTGTTCACCAGGTATTGGGATTTGTGGAGTATTGGCACAGTGTTGGTCAAAGTCTGTGATTTTTTTTTTWAATTGTGCATCAGGTCAATAGTTATAGCTGTATTTACTACATGGTAAGCATAATGTATTGTACTCTTGATAAATGCTAATAGAATTAATGTAATGATTTCTAAGCACAAAACTGATAATTATATGAAATAATGCATGCATTAATTCACTAGGTTTAATCRTTTCACCATGCATGTATACTTTTAAATACATGGCATACTTCATATATACGTAGAACTTAATTTGTCAATAAAATAAGTCTATAAATAACAAACATTTAAAAATGTAAAATACAAGCTCTGTGTCTTGATCACCATGTGTTGGCTTCATCCAGGTAATATGGTCATAGGCTGTGCCAGGTTTTTAATTGCCTCTCAAGCTTTTTTTAGTGGTTAATCTTTTTGAAGCATGTGTGTGTTTTTCAATATTAAGAATTTTCTCTGTATTTCTTCTTGAGATTCCGTTGGCTTTTACCCTTCTTGAACATCTTTGTGGTATTGTCATTCAAAATCTCTTTTCTCTAGATCTCTGTCATGGAAGAGAGAACCAGTTTTTAGATAGTCCTCAAGAAAGCCACAAATATTTGCTTGTGCTTCATATTTCACATATAATACTGAGAGGGAAGGGAGTTGATAGATTTTTTTCTAATTGCACAATGCTATATTATAGAGGAGGGGAGGGTTGGTTGATAAAAGTAACACAGTTTCCTTCCCCCCTACTATATYACTCTTCTTAGTAATGTACTCATCTTGGACCCTATGTTCTCTAAGATGGTTTTGGACAGTACTCACAGAGTATTTCTATCTCTACATTTTTCTTAGTCTATTTATTTCTGGAGTAATGATGGTCTTGGATTTCCTGCTGATGTCCTGACATGGATATAATTTTATATGTTATGTTTGCAAAATGTATTTATTCATCCCAATTTAATAAGTATAATAATTGTTATTTTCGTTTATTTCAGCCAGGAGTTCTCATCATATGCATGAATCTCCACCAGAGCAGGGAATAAAATATTTGTTTCAAAGAATGATGAAGGGAAGGTATGGAAATTGGGACTTTGACTACTTACAACTAAGAAAAAAWTGGGAAACTATAAGTGAGAGTGAAGGTCAGAAATAATATTACAAAGGACAAAACAAATTAGCAGTGACTTCATAATGAAAACTTCATTGCCAATAGATATTATGAACATTTAACATCTCAGAAAAGAATTCACTTATGCCATTTGCAWTTTGGGGGCTTTGTATGTCTTTAAAAATTTGTACACAGCAGTCTTTTTTTTTTTTTTCTAGTTGTTGATGGATATTTATTTTATTTATTTATATGTGGTACTTAGAATCAAACCCAGTGCCTCACACATGCTAGGCAAGTGCTCTGCCACTGAGCCACAATCCTAGCCCCTACAGCAGTCTCTGAAACATACATTTCCTCTGAAAGGAAATGTTGAAAATCTGAAAAGAGATCCTAGTACATGCTTCAATTTTTAACTTGACCAATTCTAGTCAAACTTTTGTAGAGAAAAGAGATTTAAAAGTGAAGGACAAGTTTCTAAAAGTGGTCCTTTTGAGAGTTTCTTTTCCAAATGTTCATTATTCTGCCATAAAGCAATAATTTCTCCTTGTATCCATACATAAGATTTCGATGATTGTAGAGAGGTTCTTACCCCTTCATGGAAATTCAGACRTAGATTTCCAGAAAGTATGCTACATATGTAGTGAAACACCTTTATTAGAGGTGACTACTCTAATTAAATACTAGTGTGTTTGTATTGGTGATAAAAATTATGAATAAAAGGAAAGTCAAAAATTTTAATATAGGTTGCAATGCCATAAATCATTAATATGCTCCATTTTTCAAAGAACCTTTCTAAAGATGTACAATGTGAAGTCTTACTTCAATGCTTAAAACTTAAGTATCCATCCAAATAATTCACAGGCAATACAAGACTTGCAAGTGTAAGGTATATGAAGAAGCACTTAATTAAATTGCAAAACTTACTCAATAGAAGAGAATTCATACTGGAAGGGAGTCCTATGAGTTTAAAGAATGTATCAAAGCATTTAATCATTCAACCCTTTCTAAACCCCACAGATACCATGACAGTGATAAACCCTACAAATTTAAAGAATGTGGCAAAAGTTTTAATCAAAGATCACTCCCGGTTAAGCATCAGAGTATTTGTGCTGGAGAGAAGCCATGCAAGTGTAAAGAATGTGTCACAGCCATTAATAATTGCTCAACCCTTTCTGAACRTCTCAGATTTCATAGCAGTGACAGAACAAAAAGCTCACTTGATAATCAATGCCAAATACTTTGTACTGGAGACAAATCCTACAAGTGTGAAGAATATGCCAAATCCTTGAAGAATTTTTCAATCTTTACTCAACCCCAAGGTTCTTATAATGGAAAGAAGTACAACTGTAAAGAATGTGGCAAAGATTTTCATATGAGATCATTGCTTACTGCACACCAGAGAAACCATACAAGGGAGTGGCCCTACAAATGTGAAGAATGTGGCAAAGGTTTTTATCAATCSTCACAACTTAAAACACACCAGAGAAGTCATACTGGAGAGCGGCCCTACAAATGTGATGAATGTGGCAAAGGTTTTAGTCAAAGATCAAGTCTTACTCAACATGAGAAAATTCATACTGGAGAGCGGCCCTATACATGTGAAGAATGTGGCAAAAGATTTTGTCAAAGATCAAAGCTTGCTGAACACCAGAGAATTCATACTGGAGAGCGGCCCTACACATGTGAAGAATGTGGTAAAGGTTTTAGTCAAAGATCAACCCTTACTCACCACCAAAGAGTTCATACTGGAGAGAAGCCCTATAAATGTGAAGAATGTGGCAAGGGTTTTCAACAAAGATCATATTTTAAGATACACCAGAGAATTCACACTGGCGAGCGGCCATACAAATGTGAAAAATGTGGCAAAGGTTTTAGTCAAAAATCAAGCCTTACTCAACACCAGAGAATYCATACTGGAGAGCGACCCTACAAATGTGAAGAATGTGGCAAAGATTTTAAAGAAAGATCATATCTTAAGGAACACCAGCGAGTTCATACTGGAGAGCGGCACTACAAATGTAAAGAATGTGGCAAAAGCTTTTATTTCAGAGCAGGCCTTACCCAACACCARAGAATTCATACTGGAGAGCGGCCCTACAAATGTAAAGAATGTGGCAAAGGTTTTAAGCAAGGAGCACATCTTAATGAACACCAGAAAATTCATACTGGAGAAAAGTCCTACAAATGTAAAGAATGTAAGAAAACTTTTAATGAAATTCAAAACCTTCCTCCACATCACAGTGTTGATACAGTTGAGAAGCCCTACAAATGTGGAGGATGTGGCAAACCTTTTAATCAAAGATCAGACCTTGTTTACTACCAGAAAAATCATGCTGGAAAAAATCTCTACACATGTGAAGAATGTGGCAAAGGCTTTCATTACAGATCAAATCTTATTATACACCAGAGAATTCATACTGGAGAGAAGCCCTACAAATGTAAAGAATGTGCCAAAGATTTTTGTCGAAAATCAAGCCTTACTAGCCATCAGAGAGTTCATACTGGAGAGAAGCCTTACAAATGTAAAGAATGTAGCAAAGGTTTTGCTCAAACATCACAACTTAAAGCACACCAGAGAATTCATACTGGAGAGAAGCCATACATTTGTAAAGAATGTGGCAAAGCTTTCAGTCAAAGAGCTAAGCTTGCTGACCACCAGAGGATTCATACTGGAGAGTGGCCGTACACATGTGAAGAATGTGGCAAAAGTTTTAATTACATATCAATCTTTACTCAACACCAGAAAAGTCATACTGGAGATAGGCCCTATAAATGTGAAGAATGTAGCAAAGCTTTTCGTCATAGATCAACCCTTGCCAAACACCAGAAATTTCATACTGGAGAGAAGCCCTATAAATGTGAAAAATGTGGCAAAGGTTTTAACCAAAGGTCATACCTTATTAATCATCAGAGAATTCATACTGGACAGAAGCCATACCATTGTAAATAGTGTCAAAGGTTTTGATTGAAAATCATGCCTTACACTACATCAGAAAATCCATACTGGAGGGAGCCTCTACAAGTGAAATATGCCACTGTCAACATTTGACAATGGTTCAACACTTATTCCACACCAGAGGAATCATAGCGGATAGAAATAGAAATGTAAAAAAAAAAATTGACAATGTTTGCAACAGTTGTTCACTCACATTGTTCAGTCCCTGAAGAATTTATGAGAGACAGAGAGAGAGAGAGAGAGAGAGAGAGAGAGAAGGAGGGAGGGGGAGGGAGGGGGGAGGGAGGAAAAATTATCAAAGCTTTTAGCCATTGTTCAACCGTTACTAAAATCTGGAGAATTTATAGTTTTGTAGAAACCCTAAAAATGTAAGTAATGTGTCTAAAACTTTAATCAGTTTTCAAAACTTCTTCAAAATATGAAGCCTTATTCTTGGAAGCTAATATGGAATGACATTTTTTCAGAATATATACTTAGATAACAGAAAACATGTAATTTAGAAAAATCCATTTCAAATATAAGAAGTATACTAAAGTTCTTATCTATAGCACATATCGGGGTGCATGTGAAGGCTATTGAGGAAAATTACTTTAATAAAGAAAAGGATAATTAAGTTTTAAGTTTTCCTTAAGATTTATTAAACTTTATTATATTGTGGTAGAAGCAATGAAATACAGAAACAGTGTAGTGCAGATAAGGTTTCACACTGAAAGCATATTAGTGTAGTTTAAATCAAACATTACCAAATGCTCTCACTTTTAAAAACTGGAGAAAACATGATTTTCATAATTTATATCAGAATTATCATATTTGAGGGGAGATTTCCAGATGTCAGAATAGAGAAGGTAATTGTTTTGGTTGCTCCGTGCATGAAACCAAGAAAGGTAGTTTCTCTGCAAGGTGTATGAATACAAGGAATATTACTGGGAATTAATACTGGCCATTCAAAAGAGGTGGAGGACCCAGGAAGTTGGATGCAATAAAATAARGAAACAATTCCCAGCTCCAGCTGAAGTAGAACCTCTGAGAAAATTGGAGGGATAAGAGCATTGAAAGAATTGACATGTCTGGGTACAGAGAGATTAGAGAGCATAATCCCTCCTAGACTAGCTTGAAAGGTATGCTGCACCATATCCTAGTGCAGAAAAGAAGCCACATCCCTCCAGCTTCCTGCAGAGGACAGTGACATAATTCATTTTGTAGCTGTGCCATGGAGGCTGTCACCTKGGGGAGCCAATTCCAGGCAAACCCAACATAGGCCTAAAATATAGGCCTGGAAAACCCACATGCATGACAGAGTGTACCTAAGTGACCAGAACAAAATTAGATGTGAAGAAGCCTTTACACAGGGTAATACAGGATGCCAGCGAAGGATAATATACCTTGCAAAATTAAGTTTTAGAATCATTTACCTCTGAACATTTTCACAGTGTCTCACATGAGRGTTCGGAGACAACTTGTATGTAAACCATAACAGTCCATATTTATATGTATAAGTTTTGGACTCCTACCCAGCTCTCCMTGTTCCTTGAGTCCAGCAGCTCACAGGACCAGCTGGCTGAGAGATTCATCTGGCCAGGAATTCAGAAGGGCAGGTGTGGGAGTGATTAAATTTGGAGACCCAACCTGAGAGCCCCGAAAACATGGGACCAGTGGGTGTAGAGGGGACAAAGGATTAGCTCCTTAGCCATACAAATAGATCCAATGGTATATTTCTAGGATGCAGTCCCCTATCATGGWCTGGCAACTGTTGGGGTCCTGGAGGTGAACTGATTTTAAAAACCTCAGATTAATCAGCATTTGAAAAAGAACATAGATTCTACCTCAGTCTAAAGTCCACCTTCAGGGTCTCTGCCTTCGTGATCTACTGTCATATTCCTGTGACCCCACCTTGTCTGTGGAACAAAGATCATACTACAGCTCACCCCACCCAACACTGCAGAGAAGGAAAGCCAAGACTTTTTTGAACTACAATGGAAACAATTCTTTGATTCCACTGAAGTATTTTTAATTTTTTTCTTTTCTGTTTAATGTGACCTGAGTGTTTCATTGACTCTTTACATACACATAGTTGTCTCTCTTTCTTGTAGCAATTTCAGAAGGCAGTCATTTTTCATTGTTAAGTATTTTGAGGGTTAAGATGTTTGCTTAGTTATTTCAGGTTTGTTTTGTATTCCTTTAGTTTTAATTTATTTCTATTTYTGTTTTACATATTTTTCTCTACTTATTTCCATTGAGACTCCTTTCTTCTGCTCACAAACTATTGTTCTCTTTCATCTTTACTTTTTTTATTTCTACTTTCTCTCATTTTCTCTACTTTCTCTCCTCCCTCCTACTCACTCCATTGCACATTTTTTCAATTTTTCCTCCCTGTTCACCACTTGAAATTTTAAACCTTTTTGCAAACTTAACTGCTTTTAATTTTGGTAACAACTGATTACATAACTTCTGTTTATTGTGACAGTTAGCATTCTAGATGTTATAGCAGTAAATATTTGGTTTAGTGCTAAATATTGTTTGCAGTGGTTGTTATTATTTGTCTTCCTCTAAACTATGTGGTACTGGAAACCTTCTGGGACACTCTAAGTCCACAGTGTAGAAACTCAACTGCCCCAGATCCGTACTGTTTGATGGTCGAGACTCAAACAATATGAAAAGGCATGGGACAAACTTTCCCAAAGCATAACATTATAATAGCAGAGTTCTTCAATATCAGAGTGGAAGAAATGTCAGACAAGGAGTTTAGAATGTTCATAGTTAAACTGATCTGTGAGGTAAAGGACAATGTAAAGAGTGAAATCAGAGAAAACATAGGAAGTGAAAATATCACTTCAATAAAGATATAGATATTCTAAAAAGGAGGAAATTCTCAAAATTATGGAATCAATAAATCAAACTAAAAATTCAATAGAAAGCATCACCAGCAGAATAGGCCAGTTGGAAGATAGTTTCATGCAAAAAAGACAAACTATAAAATTTTGAAAATAAAGTTSACCCTGGAGAAAAGATGTTAAGACTACGACGAACTTCCAAGAAATATGGGAGAACATGAAAAGWTTAAATGTAAGATTTATTGGGATTCATGAATCATCACAGATACTAATGAAAAGAATATCCAATGTTTTCAATCAAATAATCWGAAATTTTCTCAATCCCCAAGGATCAAATGGAAAATCAAATAAAAAAGGCATAGAAGAGCCAAAATATACAAAATTACAACAGAAGCACACCAAGGCACATTATTAAGAAAATGCCTAATGTACAYCATATGGATACATTTTAAACCCCCTTCAGAAAAAACAGGTCACATTTAGAGGTATGCCAGTTCATCTCTCAACTGATTCTTCAATCTAGATCCTTAAAGGTAGCATGTCTTGGAATAACATTTACCAATCTCTGATAGGAAATGGATGCCAGCTAAGGCAAAAATTARATTTTAGAATTGATAGTGAAATAAAAACCTTCCATGATAAAATGATAGAATTCACAACCAGAAAGCCTGTATGACAAAACATATTCAGTAAAATGCTTCATGAAGAAGAAATGGAAAAATAAGATTAAAAAGTGGCAAAGGGAAGGACTGTGCTAGAAGAATATCAATCAAAGGAGAAACATTCAAGTTAAAACAGGAAAATAGTGACARGCAATAAAAATGATTTCTTGATACCATTGAATGTAAATGGCCTCAATCAGAAGATATACACTGTCTGATCTGGTTAAAAACAAGATGCAACAATGTGCTGTTCTTAAGAGACTCACATAGGCAAAGACATCCATAGACTGGAGGTAAGAAGGTAAGAAGAAGCATATCATTCACATGGATTTTTCAATAAGCAGGGGTTTCTGTTCTCATACCACATGAAGGGATTCAAGGAAAAGTCAATCAGAAGGGGCAAATAAGTTTATTTCATACTGCTTAAGAGAATCATACATCAAAAAAAAAATCCTAAATATTTACACCTCACATTATGGAGCATCTACATTCATTAAAAACCCTTTTCAATTTCAATACTCAAATAGATCACAACAATAATACTAGGTACTTTAACATGCCTCTTTCACCCCTGTATAGATCTCCAAACAAAAACTAAAGGAGACTATAGAACTAAAAAGGAAAATTAATAATTTAGATTTATTAGACATATATAGAAYACTTCATCCATAAATCACTGAACACATTCTCTTCACAAGTACACATCCTTCTCTAAAATAGACCAAATCTTAGGCCACAAAGACTCTTTTAGCAAATACAGAAAAATAGAGACAATACCTTGCASTATGTCAGATCATAATGGAATGAAATTACAAATCAATAAAGCAGAAGCTACTCTAACACCTGGTGACTGATATTGAATGTCCAATGACTAGCAGAAGGAATCTGGGGGGGGGGAATTAAAAGTACTCAAATCAACTGTATTCTTGCACATTAATGATGAGTCAAGTGAAAAAAGAAATTAGAAAAGCTATCCCATTCACAAAAGCCTCAAAAAATATTTGGGAATCAATCGAACAAAAGTGGTGAAAGACCTCTACAATGACAACTACAGAACATGAAAGAAAGAAATTGAAGATCTTAGAAGATGGAAACCTCACACATGTTCTTGGGTATGCAGAATTAATCTTGTCAAAATGGCCATAYTACCGAAAGCCCTACAGATTGAATACAATTCCTATTAAAATTCCAATGATGTCTTAATAGACATAGAAAAAGCAGCTATGAAGCTCATCTGGACGAACAAGAGGCTCAGAATAGCTAAAGCAATCCTCCATGCAAG